CTCGCTTTTTTATGGCATTAAGAACAGGGTTTAAATGGCAAAGTGTGCTGGACTGCCGAGGTTGGCAATAGCTGAATAAATCTGTTCAGCATGGTTGCATACAATTACTTTTGCGCGGTGTTGTGGCGGTAGAAAACCTTCTTCTACTGCATGATCCAATTGTGTAATCAGTGCGTCATAAAAACCATTGACGTTATAAATCATCATCGGTTTTTGGTGTTGGTTCAGTTGTCCCCAGGTTGCCACTTCTAAAATTTCTTCAAAAGTGCCTAAACCACCGGGTAGTGCGACAAAGGCACTTGCACGTTCGGCCATTAAGGCTTTGCGCTCATGCATGGTTTGTACAACATGTAATTCGGTCAGTTGGTGATGCGCAATTTCATAATCCAGCATAAATTCTGGAATGACGCCGACTGCTTCACCGCCGTGGCTAATCATGGCATCGGCCACTTGTCCCATGAGGCCAATGCTGGCCCCCCCATAAACCAGACCAAAACCCTGTTTAGCTAAACCTTGTGCCAGTGCAATCGCTTTTTCTTGATAAATCGGTTTATTGCCTGAACGAGAACCGCAGTAAAGTGCGATCAGAGGTTGAGTGGTTTGAACATTTACTTCAGTGTTGAGAGAGGATATTTTTAATTCACTATTCATGGCGTATGTTTTTACCTTTTGCTTTATCTACTTTTTCTCTCTTAGTTTAAGCAAGAAATGTGACGGCAAGCTGTATTTAATCTAACAATCGGGTAATAATTTGTTAAATCTTTTAAAACAGTGCGCTTTTGAAAAAAAGATGAATTTCATGTAGATCTTGCCTATACTTATTTCCTGTTTTACAACACAAGAACGAACATGGGTAGTGGTAGTTGTCGCTCAAGACATCTTCAGTTTTCCGAAAAAAAATTACAGCCATTGGTGCTGAATCTTCCTTTTCATCCGCTTAAGTTGCGTTATGCACCATATATTTCCCCTCGACAGGAGCAGATCACATGATATTTGAATGGATGTCTGATCCTTCTGCGTGGGTGGGGTTACTCACTTTAGTGGTGCTGGAAATTGTGCTGGGGATTGATAACTTGGTTTTTATTGCGATTTTGGCGGAGAAACTTCCACCAGAACAACGCAATACGGCCCGTGTTGTTGGTTTGATCCTTGCACTCTTAATGCGTTTGGTGCTGTTGGCCTCAATTGCTTGGGTGGTGACACTGACCGAGCCGCTGTTCCATATCTTCGATCATCCTTTCTCAGGACGGGATTTGATTCTTCTGTTTGGTGGGGTGTTCTTACTGTTTAAAGGCACCATGGAACTGCATGAACGTATTGACGCCAAAGTGGTTCAGAAAGAAGAAAGTCCAGCCAATGCTGTGTTTTGGATGGTGATCGTTCAGATTGTAGTTTTGGATGCTGTGTTTTCCTTAGACTCGGTGATTACCGCAGTCGGTATGGTTAAACACCTGTCTGTGATGATGATTGCGGTGGTTATCGCCGTGGGCATTATGCTGTGGGCATCGAAAGCCTTGATGGAATTCGTCAACAAACATCCGACCGTGGTGATTTTGTGTCTCGGCTTCTTGATGATGATCGGTTTCTCATTGATTGTAGAAGGCTTTGGTTTCCATATTCCAAAAGGCTACCTCTATGCCGCGATTGGTTTCTCGGTGATTGTTGAATTCATCAACCAAACCATGCGCCGTAATCAAGAAAAAATGGTCACCACCACAGACCTTCGCTATAAAACTGCGTCTGCGGTGCTGCGAATGTTGGGCGGTAAAAGTAGTGATCATGCCTCTGAGCCTGAAGATGTCCTGGCAACTCGCGCCTATGCGGATGAAGTATTTGATCCTGAAAATGGGGTCTATCATAGTGTCTTGGTGCAAGGGGTGCTGGGTTTGTCCGAGCGTCCTGTGAAGTCCGTGATGACCCCACGTCCAGAGTTGGAGTGGATTGATTTAGAGGATGAAGAAGCCTCAATCAAATCACAACTACTCAGTATTACGCATTCACGTTTAATCGTGGCACGGGGCGAGTTAGACAACATCGCCGGTGTGGTGCTGACCCATAAAGTTTTGAATGAATATATTGAAACGGGTGTACTCGATTTTGATAAACATTTACGTGAACCTGTGATTGTGCATGAAAATGCGCAAGTCCTGATGGTGATGGAACAATTGCGTCAAGCACCGTTGCAAATGGCTTTGGTCTTGAACGAATACGGCTCGATTGAAGGGATTGCCACGCCGATTGACGTATTAGAGGCGATTGCAGGGGAGTTCCCCGATGAAGATGCTGAAGACAATGTGGCTGAAAGTTTAGAAGATGGCAGCTTGATGCTCGATGGCTCAACCGATATTCGTCATGTGTCGTTATTGTTGGATCGTGATTTGGTCGATGAGTCTGATCAGTACTCAACCTTGTCAGGCTATATCCTCTTTCATTTAGGTCGTTTACCCGAAAATGGCTCTAGCCTTGAAGCAGATGGTTGTATTTTTGAAGTGGTGACGATGGATGGGCACAAAATTGAAAAAGTGCATGTGATTCCAAAGTCAGATCTGCACAAGGAATCATCTTAAAACAAACCGTAATCTGGTTTGAACAGGTTAAAATAGCTCGCAATGTCGAGCTATTTTTTATGGAAAAATCATGAGTAATGTTGAGTGTCCGTGTGGACAGGGTGAATATGAACAGTGCTGTCAGCCTTTGCACTTGGGACAAAGTCGTGCGCAGAGCGCTACTCAACTTATGCGCTCACGTTATAGTGCTTTTGCCAAACAGCAAATTGATTACATTGTGCAAACCACAGCGTTGGGGCAGCAACAGGCTCTAGATGTTGCAGCAATTGCGGAGTGGAGTCGAAGCAACCAATGGTTGAAGTTAGACGTCGTGCAGGCCAATGAAAAACTCGATAAAAACCATGCCATGGTCGAGTTCAAAGCCCATTATCATGATGGCACATCGCCACAGATACATCATGAAATTTCACATTTTGTGAAACATGCCGAGGCATGGTATTTTTTAGATCCAACCACTGAAATGCAAATCACCATGAAACAAGCGTGCATCTGCGGTTCAGGGAAAAAATTTAAACAATGTTGTGCACAATTTTTATAATTTTAAGCAAATTTGGCTTAGAATAGCGCGCATCAATTAGCCTATATGGAATCCAGGCGATGTTACTCACTATTATTTATATTATAGCGATCACAGCAGAGGCAATGACAGGTGCACTGTCGGCGGGTCGGCGTAGTATGGATTGGTTTGGTGTGGTGATTATTGCCTGTGTCACAGCACTGGGCGGCGGTTCTGTCCGCGATGTGTTATTGGGACATTATCCGCTGACTTGGGTCAAGCATCCTGAATATTTGATGCTGACGTGTTTTGCCGCTTTTATGACGATTTTGATTGCTAAGTGGATGCGCCATTTACGCAATATTTTCTTGGTGCTCGATGCTCTGGGCCTGATTGGTTTTACCATCATCGGCTGTCAAATTGCCTTAGAAATGGGACATGGTTTTGTGGTGTCTGCGGTTGCAGGGGTTCTTACAGGGGTATCAGGCGGTATCTTGCGTGATATTTTGTGTAACGACGTCCCTTTGGTCTTCCGCCGTGAACTGTATGCCAGTATTTCTTTTGTCGCGGTGATTTTCTATTGGGGCTGCATTCAGCTCGGTTTATCACTTGAGCTGACCGTGATTTCGACTTTGATCTTTGGTTTTAGCTTACGTTTAATCGCGATTTACTTTGGCTTAGAAATGCCAAAATTCATTTATCAAGATGATGATGAGCAATCGGCTTCCTCGAAAGATGCCAGCTAAAATAACGGCGATTTGACTGCCTTATTTGTATAAAAAAAGCACATAATGATAAAGCCTGTTGAGAAAGCAGCCCGCTATCCTTTTTCCGCTTTAGAGGTCGAGCTATGGATTTAGTTTCCCGTATACAACGCTTACCGATCGGTAAATTCCACTACACCTTGTTGTGGGTCATTGGCTTGGGCTGGATGTTCGATGCCATGGACACGGGGCTGATTTCTTTTATTTTGGCAAAAATGGCCGAAGACTGGCACATGAGCCCAACCGAGAAAGGTTGGGTGGTCTCCATTGGCTTTGTCGGAATGGCGATTGGTGCGGTGTGTTCAGGGGGCTTGGCCGACCGCATTGGACGTAAAACAGTTTTTGCCGCGACCCTAGTGATTTACAGTTTAGCGACGGCGGCCTGTGCCTTTGCCCCAAACTTAACGTGGTTGTTGGTGTTTCGTTTTATTGTGGGTTTAGGCTTAGGTGGACAGTTGCCAGTAGCGGTGACCTTGGTTAGTGAATACATTCCTGCGCAGGTGCGTGGGCGTTTTATCGTGCTGCTAGAAAGTTTTTGGGGCTTAGGTTGGCTTTGCGCTGCATTGGTGGCGTATTTTGTGATTCCAAAATTTGACTGGCATATGGCCTTCTTAATCGGTGGGATTCCTGCACTGTACGCCATTGTGATTTGGTTCAAAGTGCCTGAGTCAATTCCTTATCTCATCAACCGTGGTCGCATTGTGGAAGCACATACTTTGGTGCAGCAGATTGAACGTCAATGTGGTGTGGAAGTGATCGAGCATATTGTGGTTAAACCAGTGGCAGAAAAAAAGACCGTGTCTTTTACCCAGCTCTGNGGTGGCGGTGGTGATTTTGATTTTGGGTGAAGAAACCAAAGGTAAAACATTGGAAGAGATTGGTTTGTAAAACTGTACAGACTGATGATAGAGGGATGTGTTTTAGTCCCTTGATCTTCAGGAACAATCAAACCGCGTGCGCGAGCAGAATTGAAACTTTTCTGTTACCACAATATCTTTGAAATGTGGGACTCGCGGAGTATCAAATTCCGGTTTAAGACAGCTCGCATATCTAGTTGAAAGTGTGTGATTGGCGATGTGCTCGATCATCATATTCAATGTCATGACATAAGCGTAGAGGGTGTGTAGTTACTCTATTTCAATCCTAAATAAGAGCAAGATAGGAACTTCGAAATAATTAGTTGCTCATTTTAAAAAAAATGGATAATTTTACGACACTAGGAACATCTAAAGACGCAATTTGTCGTAGTGGTGTACGCTTTCACTTGTATAGGCAGAGCCTGCGACATAGCATAAGAACTTAAACAAAAAACGATTAATTAGGATGACAGGTTGTTATGACGAACCTTGCGCATCAAGCGACAGAAAACCGTTCCGTAGCAGAATTTACTGAACAAGCATATCTCAATTACGCCATGTACGTGATCATGGATCGTGCCTTACCGCATATCAGCGATGGTTTAAAACCTGTACAACGCCGTATTGTGTATGCCATGAGTGAATTGGGGCTGAAACACAGCGGTAAACCCAAAAAATCTGCGCGTACCGTCGGCGATGTGCTCGGTAAGTATCACCCGCATGGTGATTCGGCCTGCTATGAAGCGATGGTGCTGATGGCGCAGCCTTTTAGTTATCGTTATCCATTTATTGAAGGTCAAGGTAACTGGGGTTCTCCCGATGATCCGAAATCATTCGCGGCGATGCGTTATACCGAAGCCAAATTATCTCAGTATAGTGAAGTGCTTTTGTCTGAACTGGGACAGGGGACTTGTGACTGGCAGGACAACTTTGATGGTTCGATGAAAGAGCCTGTGACTTTACCTGCACGTATTCCGAATATTTTGTTAAATGGCACTACGGGCATTGCGGTTGGTATGGCTACGGACATTCCACCACACAACCTGCGTGAAGTCGTGAAAGGCACCATTGCCTTAATTCGCAATCCAAATTTAAGCGATGAAAAAGTTGCAGAATATATTCCTGCACCCGATTTGCCGACCAAAGCAGAAATTATTACGCCACCTGAAGAGCTGTTAAAAATACAAAGCACAGGTCGGGGCAGTTACCGTATGCGTTCGGTGTATCGCATCGAAAAAAATGAAATTGTGATCACGGACTTGCCTTATCAAGTGTCAGGCTCGAAAGTTATTTCGCAAATTGCAGATCAAATGCAGGCGAAAAAACTGCCTTTGGTGAGCGATGTACGAGATGAATCAGATCATCAAAACCCAACCCGTTTGGTAATCGTACTGCGCTCAAATCGGATTGATGCTGAAGCGGTAATGAGTCACCTTTTTGCCACCACCGATCTTGAGTCGAGCTATCGGGTCAATATGAACATGATTGGTGCGGATGGCCGTCCACAAGTGAAATCGATTCGTCGTATTTTGCTGGAGTGGATTGAAATTCGAAAGGAAACCGTCACCCGTCGTCTGCAATATCACCTGAATAAAATTGAAAAACGCTTACATATTTTGGGCGGTTTGATTATTGCCTATTTAAATATTGATGAAGTGATTCGTATTATTCGTGAAGAAGAACAGCCCAAAGCGGAGTTGATGTCACGTTTTAATATTGATGATATTCAGGCCGAAGCCATTTTAGAACTCAAGTTACGTCATTTGGCTCGACTTGAAGAAATGGAAATGCGCCGTGAGCAAGAAGAGTTAGAAGCCAAAGCTGCACTGATTCGTGAACAGTTGGCCAATCCTGAGTCTTTAAAAGCTTTGATCATCAATGAACTCAAAGATGATGCGAAAAAATACGGCGATGACCGTCGTTCACCAATCGTGCATCGTGCAGAAGCGACGGCGATGAGTGAGCAAGACTTCATGCCTGCTGATCCTGTGACTGTGGTGTTGTCTGAAGCGGGGTGGATTCGTTCAGCCAAAGGTCATGAAGTTGATGCCGAAAACCTGAACTTCCGTGCAGGCGATCAATACCTCAGTCATGCGCAAGGCAAATCGAATCAGCGCGTGTATGTGTTGATCATCGAAAACTTTGCCTCTGTTTACCAAGCGATTAATGGTAAAACGCCAGTTAAACATGTCGTGATTGCCTCTGTAGGTGACATGTTGGGTGCATTAAAAGGCACACTGGTGAACTTTGTATTACGTTCAGTTCGTAAGCAAATTCCAGCATGGAATATTCCTGGCCATATTCGCTTTAATGCGGCAATGTCGAAAGTTAGTGCGAGTAACTATAAGCGCCCGAACTTAACGTTAAGTGACACAGCAGTGCTTCAGTACACTGGCGGCACTACAGGGGTATCTAAAGGTGCAGAACTGACGCATCGCAACCTTGTGGCGAACATGTTGCAGTGTGACGGTATTTTCCAAAGTAAATTTGGTGCACAAGATGGTCAACCTGATGACCGCATTTTCTGTGCCTTACCGCTATATCATATTTTTGCGTTCATGGTTTGTGCGATGTACGGCATGTACAAAGGCCAAGCCAACGTTTTGATTCCAAACCCGCGTGATTTACCTGCGGTGATGAAAGAATTACGTAAATATCAACCGTCATTCTTCCCAGCAGTGAATACACTATTCAATGCTTTAGTGAACAATGAAGAGTTTAAGCAACTCGACCACAGCAAATTGAAAATGGCGATGGGTGGTGGTATGGCTGTGCTTCCTTCTACAGCAGAAGCGTGGAAGCGAATTACTGGAACCAACATCATTGAAGGTTACGGCCTATCTGAAACTTCACCTGTGGCAACGGCAAATCCGCCAGCGTCAGAAGAGTTCAGTGGCACAATTGGTATTCCATTGCCATTAACTGAAGTTGCAATTTTGGATGATGATGGTAAGGAAGTTGCACTGGGTGAACAAGGTGAGATTTCAATCCGTGGTCCACAAGTGATGCGTGGCTATTGGAACCGTGCAGATGAAACAGCTAAAGTGATGACTGAAGATGGTTTCTTCCGTACGGGTGACATTGGTGTCATGGACGCTCGCGGCTATGTGAAAATTGTAGACCGTAAGAAAGACATGATTTTGGTGTCAGGCTTTAACGTTTACCCTTCAGAAATCGAAGAAGTGGTTTCAAAGCATCCTAAAGTATTGGAAGTGGCTGCCATTGGTGTACCTGATGAAAAATCAGGTGAAGTACCAAAACTGTTTGTGGTGAAGAAAGATCCATCTTTAACCACAGAAGAAGTATTGGCATTTGCGAAAGAGAACTTAACGGGTTACAAACGTCCGCGTTATGTTGAATTCTTGGACGAGTTACCGAAATCAAACGTAGGTAAAATCCTACGTAAAGATTTACGTAAAACAGCTTAAGTTCAAATAAAAAAAGCGCCGTCAGGCGCTTTTTTTTCATGTTCACATTTAATTTTTCATTAACCAGCGATCAATATAGGGACGGCCAATGCCCAAGATGCCAACAAAGGTCAGCATCGTCCCGCACTGACGACTAAAGGCTGGGAAAGCAAAACTACCAAAACTCAGTATATTATCGATCAGACAATAGACGGTCACTGCAAGCAACCAAGACCATAGGTTTTGACGTTTAATCCCGACCATCCAAAATGCAATGATCAGCATGACCAGTGTGCCAAGGGTCGAACCAATATTCATATTGGCACAAATGACCGCCAATAAAAATGCAGTAACGGGAAGCACAATCTTTAAAACACGATCCACTTGGCGTTGATGTTGACGCTGAATTTCGAGCACGTCGAACATTTCTTTTTGATCAGGGCTAGCCATGCAGGAGTCTCATCGGGAAATTATAAAAACACTATAATTTAACCAAATTTATCCTCGGAATGCCATGCTATGATAGCCTTCGAAATGATCTTGATGAGAAAAAACCAATGCAAAGCATTAGCGGGATTATTTATCTCATTTTAATTGCTTGTTTACTGCCTTACGTATTTACAATCATTGCTAAAAAAACAGCAGGATTTCGCGCCAAAGATAATCAACATCCGCGTGAATTTCTCGCCAAAACGACTGGTCTGGCAGCACGTGCCAATGCGGCACAGCAAAATAGCTTTGAGAGTTTACCGTTATTTATTGCCGCTATCTTAATGGCTGAATATATGGTGATTCCGCAAGTGGTCACCATGACTTTTGGTATTGCCTATCTTGTCTTTCGTGTGGTGTATGGGATTTGCTATTTGGCCAACTGGTCGACGCTCCGTACGATCGTTTGGCTGTTGTCACTGCTTTGTCCTATTTGTTTATTATTGTTGGTCATTCGACTGACGATGGGCTAAGTGCGAAACATACATATTTTCACCCAGTGGATGTATAATCGCAGAAATATTTTTTTCTCAAAAACCGTTATAATCGATGCGGTTTTTAAAAGATTTAACTTGTTAAAGAGTGATGTTATGAGCTACAGCAATATCCCTGCGGGTAAAGATGCACCGAACGATATCTACGTGATCATCGAAATTCCTGCAAATGCAGCACCAATCAAATATGAAATTGATAAAGATTCGGATGCACTTTTTGTAGATCGTTTCATGGGTACAGCAATGTTCTACCCAGCGAACTATGGTTATGTACCAAACACCTTGTCTGAAGATGGTGACCCATTAGATGTACTTGTTGTAACGCCACATCCAGTTGAACCAGGTTCAGTGATTCGTTGCCGCCCTGTGGGTAAATTGAACATGGAAGATGACGGTGGTATCGATGCGAAATTGATCGCAGTTCCACACGACAAGTTAACGCCAATTTATAAAGACGTGAAAGAATATACCGATCTTCCACCTTTACTGATTCAACAAGTTGAACACTTCTTCGCGCACTATAAAGACTTAGAGCCAGGGAAGTGGGTTAAATTAACAGGTTGGGAAGGTTCTGAAGTTGCTAAGCAAGAAGTGCTTAAAGCAATCGAAGCAGCAAAATAAGCCTGTCTGTGAAGCCTCAATTGAACTGTGTTTGATTGTAGGCTTCAATAAAAAACCTGCACATTGTGCAGGTTTTTTATTAGATTAGCTTTTCCGTAGAAATTAGAAGAATTTCACAGGAATGTCTAACCAAACACGCCATTCGTTGGTGTCACCAATGTAGTTACCAGCTTGATATTCGTCGCTCGCACGGTAATACGAGTGACGTAAACGTAAGCTTGCATCTTTAGCAAAACCAGATTGAACGGTATATTTTACTTGGTTAAAGAATTCACGCTCAGTAGCATTGTCTACAATCAATTGTGAACGGTTGCTTAAGTCTGCAACATCAATATCCCAACCATAAACATATGCAGTCGTCCAGCTTAGGCCAGGAACATTTAAGCCTGCAAAGTCATAGGTATATTGAAGTTGTACAGACTTTTCATCGTTACCGATGAAGTCTGAAAGGTAAGAGTTTGGTAGGTAAATAGTCTGATGACCATCACCCACACCTTTACCCAAACCATAGTCATAACCAGTATTACCAGTGTTTTGTTGGTAAGCCATCATGACATTATGGTTACCTGTGTTATAGGTTCCAGAAATAGCCCAAATATTATTACTTAAGTCGGTTAGATCACTGGTCGTATGCGAGTATGTATACGCACTGCCATCAGCTTTAGTATCCCATTTTGTATGGTAACCACTGAAGTCATAGGTCAATGAGCTATTGTTCACAAGCGCTTGTTTATAGTTGGCATTCACATAATGACGATCTAAACGGTCTTTGATGTCAGTACCAAAATAAGATGCATTAAGTGCATCATTAAATTTATACTTTGCACCCCAAACCACAGCACGATCTAATTCATTACCATCACTTTTGATTTGGTCTGAATATTGGTTCTTGGTAAATTTACCTGCAGTTAACTCAAGACCGTTAATTTCACGGCTTGTTGCTAACACACCTTCAAAGTATTCAGGCACTAAACGTGCAGTGTTACTTGCTAATACTGGTAAGTCGAGTACTTGAGTACCATAACGCACTTCAGTATTTGAAATACGCGCTTTGACGATACCACCACCACGAGCCCAGTGGTCATATGCAGAGCCGTCTGGGTGCTGAGGGATCATGCCATTACCAGCATTATTGTTATCACCAAGCTTAAATGAAGCATCGCCAATAATACNTCAAAATAGCGCATATTGTAAACAATTATGTTGAGCTAAATTAAATTACATAAATTAACAGCGAATGTTATTGGCCATAGAAGGCAGATGGTGTTTAATTTTTTTTATTCTTAATAAATTTTTATAAAACAAATAATTATTCTATTTTTTATGAGAGTGTAACTGATTTTAATTTGAGTTTGGCATAGCTATTGCTACTACCTACATGAGTTTATCGAAATAACCAAAAAACGTCGGATACGATGTGGGGGAATCAAACAATGAAATTTGCACTTAAAGCATTATCTTTAGCTGTGGTGGCTTCAGCTTCTACATTCACTTTCGCAGATGACGAGCCAGCATTACCGTTTGGTTTCTCTTTTAGCGGAAGTGCTGCTGTAACAACTGACTATCGTTTCCGTGGTTTAACTCAAACCCAAAATGATCCAGCGGTACAAGCGGGTTTTACTTTGGCACATGACTCAGGCTTGTATTTGGGTCTTTGGGGTTCAAATGTTGATTTTGGCGAAGGTTCACCGAGTTTAGAACTCGATCCATCGATTGGTTTTGCAACAACATTAGAAAGCTTTGCCAGCAAGCCAGTGCTTGATGTGGGTATGGTGTACTACAACTATCCAAGCGCAGATGATCTGAACTGGTTAGAGTTTTATGGCAAATTAACCTTTGCGAGTGTCTTCACTGAAGGGGACAGTCTACTGACCAATGTGAACTATACCAATGACTATGTTGCAGCAGATACAGACAGCTGGAACATCAATGCTGGTTATGCAATTCCATTTGGTTCAACGGGCTTTGGTGGTGTCGCGAATGTGGGTTATACCGTGGTCAGTGATGAAGATAAATATTCATTTGGTGATGATGACAATTATGTCGATTGGAAAGTGGGTGTGACCTATGCATTCCAGTCTATTCCTGGTGCAACAGCAGAATTGGCAGCAGTAGGAACCAATATTGATACTGATAATCTGGATCATGTGACAGCACGTGGTGTAGAAACAGGTGCAGTATTTACTTTAACTAAAACTTTCTAAGTTTTAGCATCTTTAAAACCCCTCTAGTCCATAGGACTGGAGGGGTTTTTCTATGTGGAATTTAGCAATTTTAGGCATTTTGCTGTCGGTAGGAGAGAGCTTCGGTCAAATGTCCTGTTTGGATGTGCTCTGACTGGGCCAAATCCGCAATGGTTCTGGCCACTCTTAAAATCCGATGATAACCCCGAGCAGACAAATTTAAACGCTGCTGTGCTTTTTCAAAGATTAAAGCCGCTTGTCCATCTAGCGGTGCGAATTGTTCGAGTTGTTTGGGTGATAAAGCCATATTGAGACAAGCTTGGCGCTGCATTTGCCATTGATAAGCTTGAATTACACGCTCGCGCACAGTCGCCGAGTCTTCCACGGCTTGTGTATCTTGCAATTCAGAAGCATGTAAGGGTGGTACATCAATATGTAAATCAATCCGATCCAGCAAAGGCCCTGAAATGCGGTTTTGGTAGCGTTTAATCGCCTCGGCTGAGCACTGGCAACGGTTATCTTGATTAAAAGCATAACCACAGGGACACGGGTTCATTGCGGCAATCAGTTGGAAATTGGCTGGAAAGGTGATCTGCCGTGAAGCACGCGAAATCACAATCTCTTTGGCTTCTATCGGCTGTCTTAAAACCTCTAAAACCTTGCGGTCAAACTCTGGTAGTTCATCTAAAAACAGCACGCCTTTATGTGCCAAAGTAATTTCACCGGGTTTGGGTTGTGACCCGCCACCGACTAAGGCAACCGCAGAAGCCGTATGGTGCGGTGCACGAAATGGCCGCTGCCCAAAAGGATGTTGATGATTGGCCACCGAGTAAATACTCGCCACTTCCAAATTCTCTTGCGTGTTCAAGGGCGGTAGAATACTGGCTAAACGTGAAGCCAATAGGGTTTTCCCTGTCCCTGGCGGTCCTTTAAATAGCAAAGAATGACCACCTGCTGCCGCAATCTCTAAGGCACGTCTCGGACGTAGTTGACCTTTAACATCGGCCAAATCAAATTTGTAGTGCTGTGAGGCTTTTAGCGCCGTGGGTTGAAACTGTTGGATGAGATGGTTTTGCGACAGATGCTCACAGACTTGTTTTAAATGTTGCGCTGCAAATACTTGAAAGTTGGGCAGTTGAGAGGCTTCTTGCGCATTGGCCTCAGGTAAAATCAGTTGATGTCCAGCTTGCTGGCAGGCAATCGCAATACTTAAAGTGCCTGAAATTGGTCGCAGTTGCCCATCGAGTGCCAACTCACCTATAAATTCAAAATTTTCAGTTCCTTGTTCGGGGAGCTGACCAGAGGCAATTAAAATACCCAGTGCAATAGGCAAATCCAGTCGTGAGCTGTCTTTGGGCAGATCTGCGGGCGCAAGGTTGATAGTGAGGCGTTTAGTCGGAAACTGAAAGCCACTATTGATAATGGCGGAGCGCACCCGATCTTTGCTTTCCCGAACGGCTGCTTCAGGAAGCCCCACAATGGTTAAAGAGGGTAGTCCTTGGCTCAGATGAACTTCAACTTCAACCGAAGGTGCGTGTAAACCGAGCAAAGCTCGAGTGTAAATTTTGGCAAAAGACATCTTTTGTTCCATTATAGTGCATTATTTTAATTCGTTATGCGTCTTTTGTTGCACCAAACAGGTGCTCATTTTTTGTTCTGAATGCGTAACTCTAAAGCTTCCACTTGTTTCAATAAGTCATTTAAACGCAAATTGGCATTATTCAGTGCAGTACGTTGACGTTCAATTTCATCTTTGGAAACCAAATCCATCTTGGTGACTGCTTCATTGAGCAGTGCGCGTAAATTATGTTCTAAGTCTTGTTTAGGTTGTTCGACTTGTTCCAGTATGGCTTGTAATAAAGTTTCAATCATTTCTATATCCAACAGTTGGAGAAGTGACAGCAGTGTACCATTGCTGCTTCTGACTCTATAGCCTTTCAGATGAAATATGATTTCATCGATTGTAAAAAAATCATAAATCTTCGACTAAAAAACCTGAATTTTGAAGCTCAAAACGCATTTAAATGTATAGAATAGGGTATAAAGAAAACTCATGTCAGACTTTCTTTTCCCCCCAACCTAAGAATTTTTGGCATGAAATTTGAACATAAAACCTTACTGGTGACATAAGCCGAAGGAAAACAAACATGAAGCTCGTAACTGCAATTGTAAAACCGTTTAAATTGGATGATGTGCGTGAAGCACTGTCTGAAATTGGTGTTCAAGGGATCACGGTAACTGAAGTCAAAGGCTTTGGTCGTCAAAAAGGTCATACTGAACTTTATCGTGGCGCTGAATATGTTGTTGATTTCTTACCAAAAGTAAAAATCGAAATCGCGATCAGTGATGAAATGGTCGACGCGGTGATTGAGTCAATCACACGTGTGGCTAGTACAGGAAAAATTGGCGACGGTAAAATTTTCGTCACAAATTTAGAGCAAGTCATCCGTATCCGTACAGGTGAAACAGGTGCCGATGCCGTTTAATTTGGCATGAAGTTTGCTGAGTAACACATAACTCGCACAAATTAGGTTGGGGGATACGAATGAAAAAGATGCTATTCGCGCTGAGCTTATCTGGCGCACTTTTAGGTGGTTCTGTTGCTTGGGCTGAAGAAGCAGCAACAGCGCCAACTCCATCAGAACAAGTCACAGTGGTTGAAACAACGGATGTGGCTGCTCCAGCGGTTGAAGCCGTTGCTGCTCCAGTAGAAGCACCCGCACCTGCAGAAGAAGAACCAACATTAGATACAGGTGATACGGCGTGGATTTTAGTCTCCACAGCACTGGTTTTATTAATGACCATTCCAGGTTTAGCGTTATTCTACGGCGGTATGGTTCGTAAGAAAAACGTCTTAAGCACCATGGCACATAGCTTTGTTGCTGCGGCAGTGGTGAGTATTGCATGGGTCATCATTGGTTATACATTGGCCTTTGGTGAGGGCAATGCCTTTATCGGTGGCTTAGATAAGTTCATGCTGACTGGGATTACCACAGATGCACTCACAGGTACGATTCCTGAAGTTCTATTCGTTATTTTCCAAATGACCTTTGCCATCATTACGGTTGCCATTATTAGTGGTTCAATTGCAGAACGGATGAAATTCGGCGCATTTATCGCTTTCATCTCGATTTGGGTAGTCGTGGTTTATGCACCAATTACTCACTGGGTATGGGGCGGTGGCTGGTTAGCAAATGATGGTGCACTCGACTTTGCTGGCGGTACCGTTGTACACATCAACTCAGGTGTGGCAGGTTTGGTTGCTGCATACATGCTCGGCAAACGTATGGGCTTAGGCCGTGAATCAATGGCTCCACACAACTTGGCATTAACCGTTGTGGGTGCAAGCTTACTGTGGGTCGGTTGGTTTGGTTTCAATGGTGGTTCTGCATTGGGCGCAAACGGCTCAGCAGGTTATGC